GTAAAATTAATTCTTAGTCGCAGCCAAACTGCATTATAAATTCTGATTGGTAAACACTTCTTTTAACAAGCTCATAGTAAAGAGGAGTTTACACTAAAACCATAGTTTAAACTATTTTTGCTTCGTGAGTCCATCATTTACTAAGGCACAAAACTGTCGGTTTGTTTAATCCTTATACCGCCTGAAGTTGAAAGACGTATGCTAAATCATGTGGACATATTGTACAAGCTAATTTACCTTGGTTCGAAACGCAGAAGGCAGTAAAGTAGTTACACATTTACCATAGATTATAAAATCCCCCGCCGCAGCAAACCTGCAGACTAGATAGCCGAAACCCTCAGACTGGGGCTGTTCAGATCAGGTCCCCACCAGCCATGAAAAATCTTTTTCATCACACTATGATGTGTTTAGCTATTTTACATACGTTAATTGGGGGCTGAAAGTTACGTTTTGCTGACCATGCCAGCTGTCATCGTCATTTGGGGACCGAGCAGGTTTGTACATCCCTAGGGCCACAAAATCAGCAGCCCGCTTACTTTCTTAAAACCTGAATGCATATTAAATACACAAATCGGTATCCATGCATTGCAATAAAATTGTTTTATTGTCCCCAGTGCCTAGCAACTATTTATTATTATTTTTGCTGATTCCTCAAATTATTTCTTCACATAACCTTAATGTTGTAGTTGTGTTGACTATCAGGGTATATTATTATTGTGGTGAATAGTGGTAATAGGGTATGGTGTGGTGAAAAATAGCACGGACCGAAATGGTTTTGCAGCTTTCGATCGTTTTAAGTTCTCGACTTCGTCCCGAACTTTTTCTATCTCGAGTCGGCAAAACCTCATTTTCGGCCCTAGGTACGAAATATACTATTATTAGATATGCCAGGAATTGAACCCTTCAACCCCGCACCGAAGTCCGGAACGGTAAATAATATATTAGTACAACAACAAATGAGAAATTTGTTAAGTACCCAGGCGCGCAACAGTTCGCCTAATCGCCGCTAGATGTCACCACCCAGTGTAGCCAGTTCACATATTCACCGCTAGATGTCAGTGAAACAGATACACCTAAATCCATTCATCTTTCTTGGTTATTTTATAACATTAAGGTACAAAAACAATTTAGCTCAATGCTAAAAGTAAAAGTTACATTCATACTATAAATTCAAGTACGATTTTGCGATTTAAAACCGCGGTAGTTCAGTATGAGTCCTTTGTATCCGTTGATACTCGCAGAGAGTTTTGAGTAGTTGGAACATGACTAGCTACTAACCTCTCAGCGACACTTATTGTCCAATATCTTAACATTATAAATATACTTATTGTTTGAAAAGCCGAGAGTCGTGTCTCTTAACAGAGGCCGATGATTGGCTTATTACTCAACTATCGATTGAGGACTAATTAATTGTAGGTTAGGCCGGACCAAACTTAACTTATAATATTTAACCCTTGAGATTGGGTTTTCCGTGTTCAAGGGCGACGCACGTGGGGGACTCGTCAAGCAAATATTTACAATTAATTGTGTGATTTGATTTCCAATTTAATCTATCTAGATAACATTAATTTTAACGAGTACCTAGGTTTGTTGCTACAGGGAGGGTAATGATGTGTAGTAAATATTAATAGTTTAGTATAAAATATTTGCCATGTTTGATCAAAATACATCCATAAACAAGCAAAAGTATAACAGTTGACTTGTTCTCCATAAGAATAACATGTGAATTTCCAATTTACATTTTATTGAACTTTCTCCGTAATCAATTGCGGCACAAAAATACTTTTAATATACTAAATTATTTTTCTATTTGTTCAAAATAGTTTAAAGACTAATATAAGGAAATTTAATGGTTTGGGGTCAAAAACGAGAAAAACTTGAGTTTACACGTTTATTGCAAATTTTATCAAAATCGGATGATTTTTGCTAGAGTTATCGTGCTAATGGACACCTATTTATGAATTTGAAAGGTGTATTTGGCCTCTAGGGACCTCAAAACAAAAATTAAATCGGTCCCGGGTCAAGGTCTCACAATGAGTTCTACGGTAATAGCTTATTCCCTATGGTAAATTCGCTAAAAAGATTTAATCATAAACAATAATTCGTCCCCTAGCTATATAATCAAACAGTAAAGCATATAAATCGTGAAATAAACCGTAAAATAATAGATACAAAATTTCATCGACTCAGCGATCAGTGTCACCGGACATGAACCAGACACGAAAAACTAGCTTCAAAACTTACAATGGGATGAGATGAGAAGTCTACTTTTGTTGTTTAGTCTGTAAATTATACATTCTCTTATATTATATTCCATCAACTGAGTGACAGAGTAAATCTTGAAACTAGAATCAAAGACTATCAAAAACAAATAGACTTCTCATCCTGTTGTAAATTTTGAAGCTCGTTTTTCGTGTCTAGTTCATGTACGGTGACACTGCAGTGTCTACGAAATTTGTTAATTTTATATTTTAGAGTTAATTTGACTTGTGCTTTACTGTTTGGTTATATAACTAGAGGACGAGTTATTGTTTATGATTAGATAGTTTTATTTGGTTTAACGGGGGTTTTAATGACTGAAATAACAAGAAACAAATTGTAAACAAAATACGACCTGTAGAGTGCACCGTACAGAACTATAAAATTGACTTGGGGGCGCTCAAACACTAAGCCTTGAAAATATTAACAAAAAGCAAAACAGTGTGTACTGGAATTTCGAAATCAAACCATTGTAGTAAGTTAAACACAGAAGCAACAATGAATAATGTCATGTACGGCTTATAAACAGCTGATTGTAAAAAGTGCTCACCGGCGATTTGTGATTTGAATTGAACAATCAGCTGATTTAGCAAATCGCAACAATGGTTACTTTCCTGGCCTGCGCATCGTCGCATTCTTAGAACAAGTTATTCACTTTGTCACATTTGGCAAGTGGTAATTTTTATACGGGCAGTTAGACTGATACACAAAAGTTAGAAAAAAACTTTACAGGGGGTTTCTTTATTTTAAGTACAACTTGTATATCTACTGTAATGCGTTTTGTGGGCGACATTTTTAGTTTGATATTCTAATGATTAGGCTAACAATATCATAGAATAGTTATAAAGTTAGGAAAATCTTAAACTCTTGCTGGTCCTCTTTATCACAGAGATAAAAATTAAAACTTTAGATTATAGTGGTTATCGTGTAATTTAACAGTTTTCGCTGCAGTTGAACAACAAAATACGTCAGACAGACAGACGGACAGACAGACAGACGGACAGACAGACAAACAGACAGACGGACAGTCAGACTGACAGTCAAACAGACGGATAGACAGACAGACTGATCGCTGTCAATGACCTGGCAAGGTCATTTGATGTCAGCTGTCTTCAAGATCATCTAGGTCTAGGTGAGGTACCTGTCTTGTTGTACCTTACCTTCAATACAGGTCAATGTCCCTCTCTGCCAATGTGCCATTGACTTTGGATACTGCAAGTAGACTGTTATAGTGTTTGCCTATCAGAGGATGCTGGTTAGAAGTAGATTTTTGATGGTTCAAAATTGAATCTAGCTCGTCTCGGTTGTTGGGTCACGATTATTGTGGTTTAAATGAAACTAAATGAACCTGGTTACTGTTTAAAAAAATACTTGGTAGTTTACAACGACTACAGGTGTTCCGCAATGACTACAGCTGTTTCGTGCTGTCTTCTACAGAGCACATAAAAGAAACAGCTGATGTTAGTCGGTAACGATGCTAAATAGATCATTGGCAATTTAAGTCTACACTTACCTTGCTTTTATATTCAACCTAAAGTACAAACATAATTTATTGCTTAGTGAAATAATTAAGTGATCATGAGCTGAAACTGGATAACAGCAAGATCACCTCCCTTTTTCGACAAGATAAGAAAATTTTAGTAAATTAACGAAAAATAGTAAAAAATGTAACTATCCTAAATTTACTGACCAGAAACGAAACTTGGGGAGTCTCCTAAACTGAGTCATAAAGATTATGAATGTATAAGGGAGTAGGTTCGGTCTATAAGGGGACTAAAACAAATATGGCTTTTATTCTGGTAGGCTATATGGAGTTAACAAAATATATTATATATCAAAAATAAACTATTCATTCTGACAATAAGAAATGTACCACCAATTTGTTCATCGGTGTTTGTAAAATAAGAGTATGTATTTAACTTTACAATTTCATATTTATATATATTTTATGACGGAATGCTTCAAGCTTCGTCAGAAATTATAATCTTTAATAGCTGTTAAAGGAATGTGCATAAAGAACAAAGATTGCCTGAGGGATGAACCGTCCGTTCAAATGTCCTTTAATTTCTCTGCAGATGGAAATATTTAATTAATTTAAAAGAATTTATAAATAAAATACATTTTCCTACAAAATTTGATTCACTTAAAAAGTCTTCCTTATATATCATTTCCAAGAAAAAAACGTGTTCATACTGGTTATTGTTGACAATTCGGGAATAATAAATATTTTATCCAAAGTTTTTAGAAGATAATAAAAAAATACAGTTCAAACGAGCTGTTATTTTTTAAACACAGTAAATAAGAATCGAGATCAGCGGGGAAAACTGAAAGGCAGAAAGATAGAAATATTATTTTGACCCTAAAAAAATAAATCGCATTAAAATTTTACTCTAAAGTAATGTTTTTTAACACATCATCAAACATCAAAACCTGGACCTACGCAACATCTTAACTATGAATGGTTACGGATCATTCAAAAATCAATGAAACCAATGTTTATAAAACACACCAAAATCCTATTCATCTCTTCATATTAGCATCAAACATTGAAGCTCGTTTAGAAACATCTCTGTAGCCAAGTTCTCGGTAGAGTGGGCGAGAAGTATTGCTGATGCCTGAAGTTGTTTGTTGATTGTTTTGTGTTGTGGTGGGTAATGAACTAGGAACCTTGGATCGATGGATACTCTATATATTTACCACCTTGTCTTCATAAACTCAGTTCGATAGTGTGTGACATAGGGGCAAGATGTGGGTTGTGTTAGGTAAGTTGGCTCTTGTGTTTTGAATTGTTGCTTTCGAGTATCAAATAATTTTATTTAATTGTTTTTACATGTAGTGTTATTTGATTTTTTTGGGGCGTATGTTGTAATAAACTTTTAAAGTGATACAGCCAAATATCAATAATCGTTTAAGGAAAAAACTATAGACTTATGGCACCTAAAAATGAAACTTAGATTTCGATATTTATAGTAACATGCCGATTTCAGAGGGTCTTAGATGCTTCAAATGTTTACATTATTAAATTAATTAAATGAATCAGCTGATTGATGCAACTAACAGCTGTTTGTTTATTTACTTAAAAGCGTTTTTACTGATGCTTTAATGTTGAGGTAATTTTTGAGCTATTTAGTAAGAGGGTCATATTCGGTTACAGAATCGTAATAACAGTATTTTAGATATTGTCTTATAACTTTCCTTTTAATTCATATAATAAGCTACAAGTAAAGAGTCTTGACAAAAATTGGAGGATTAGAAAAGACATTTTGTTAAATAAAACATCAATATCAAATTATTGATTTTATCGTTTAGGATTGTTGTAGTAATCATTTAAATAATAACGAGAATGCACTAATATTTATCAAGGGCTATGGAGATTAAATCAAAATTAATTTCAACTTTCTAACCAACTTTTGAAATTTGGAAGAGGTGAGGTTTAAATTTAAATTTAAGTCCAAGAATGTGGCGCTATTATTATCTGTAAAGACATATATTTTTATTTAATGTTTTAACACGTTATACCACACTGGACGTTATGTCACATATGGGACTTGTGACAGTATATGTTAGAGTGCTTTAAGAATTCCTTAGTAGAAATATTTACAATTGTACATACTTATAAGCCTTCGTCTATCTGTTATTGGACTCGTGAAGCCAACTTTTAAACCCAGGTTTTATCTCTGCATTAATTGTGTAGAGTCCATCAGTTTACTCTGAGGTTTACGAACAATTGAGCTCGTAAAGCAGATTTTTTAAACCTCGGTGAAAATACCGGTATTAGCTCGTGAACCGCCTGCGCATAGTATATTTGGGCATTATTTTTTCTGCTGATACAAAACTGTATGTAACTATGTAACATTTCTAAGTAATAAAGAAATATTTTACTTTGAACTCAATGTAATCAAGGTAATGTGTATTGGTTAAAATGTCATTTAAAGTTAAACAACTATGTGATTAAAAAGTAATTTAATCTACTACTTCTACTATTTTCCAGGATTGACGCTGGCGTTAGCAGCAGCAGAGGACACTTGTTCCTCAGACGAGAAAACACATAAGCTGGAGTTGGACGCGTTTTACCATGATTGTTCGATGTTCAACGATCATAAGCTGTTCAACGGTCCGGTGTGTGGCAGTGATGGCACTACGTATGCTAACTGCGTACACTTGGCCTGCATGAACCATTGGAGAGCCGCGTGCGATAGTGAGTACCAGTTGACCGACATGACTAGTTGATCGAAGTGACAGTTGAGCGACGTGACAGTTGTTTGCAGTACCACTTGTCCGAACGAGAGTGGTCTTAGATTACCAGTTGATGGAAGTGAGAGTTTTTCGACTTGTCCAAATAAAAGCTTTCACATATATTAGTTTGGTGTAGATAACCAATACGACGAGTTGATCGAAGTAGCAGTTGCTTGAAGTACCACTTGCCCGAACAAGAGTCAAATAGCAAACATTTATGTGATTGTTCATTTATTGGAAATAGTGATATTTTTAGCATTATTTGTAGCTATACCGGGTGTTACCCCTTTAGATTATAATTAAAAATATAAATTGAATGATGAAGCTTTAAGAGTACGTCCTCAGCGTATTGACAAATTAGACACTTTACTAGCTTTTTTGCCATGTTAAAAGTGTTAATATCTCAAATGTAAGCTTATGTTAAAATATGCCTTATTTTAAAGATATTTGTAAGATTCACGAATTGCCACAACAAATTATATTCTCACAGTTTATGATGACATTTTTGGTACAGGGGATCTTTAATAGTCTCATATTAGTTTGGAAATTCATAAAAATGCGGTTCTCTCTCTAGACTTTAAAGGTTAAAATGAACAATTTTCTCTAGACATTTTAAGCTTCGTTAGCTTTAAAACACTTTCTCATTCAATATTTTCAACTCACTATTCCAACCCTATACTATTACTATAAATACCTTGGCCGTCTGTGTACCAAAACTGATGACTTTGTTTGGACCTGCACACAACCTAGGGATTTATTGTAACATAATTATCAAAGTGCAGGTCAGAGACTATAGAAATGTTTACCCTCTTACTGAATCTGATCACTTAATCTTATTCCCATATGTTCAACTAACTCCACCACCCCTTTGCCATGTTCCAGAGGTGAAGATAGTCAGTAAGGGTGTTTGCCCTGACTGTGAGGTCCCCTTCAAGTGGGCTCCTGTGTGGGATCCTGTCTGCGGCACTGACAACGTCACCTACGCCAACACAGAAGCTCTGGCTCTGCACAACGATCGTGCTGGCAAAGGTGAGGAACTCTACATCTTCATAACCTTAGGCATTGATGGAATTTTGATTTGATACTTCCGTAATAGTTTGCATTTGAGATTAGTAGCCTCCTCTCTTAACAAGGCTTTGGTGAGACAGCCCCGGCCTTCTGAAACAGCTGTTGTGCTAATTCATAATGAACTCTTCCACAATGTTTATATTTTACACGTTAAGTTAGCTTACTAATGTCTCGACTGCCTTGTATATAAGATGAGGCTAAAATACCTCCATTCAATTGATCTTTTAACTTTTTCCAGAAGAAATACCACAACTCACAACATATGTCTAGTTCTGCATAAAATTATTTTTGTGTGATTATTATTTCAATTCACAGTTATTAAAAAACAGTTTACTTGCAAGTACTGATGACTCTGTCTTCTTGTAGCTATCAAGGTTTACCACGACGGGGAATGCATCGACCCCACCGTAGGCTGTTTCGGCATAGACTACGCCCCCTGGGAGAACGCCGTCTGTGGCACGAATGGAAGGACGTACCAGAGTGTGCAGGCCATCGCGGACCTGCGCAAAATGGGGCAATGTAAGTTGTAGCCTGTATAATATAACCTGTCCTCTGACCCTGTGTCTACCTGAAGACTGGCCAATGGATTAAGGCCCGGAAAAGTCCCAGGTAAACGAAGGATCAAGAGACAGGTTCCATCATACAGACTATACCATCTAGAATTTCTAAAGGCGATATGTCAATGTGAGCAAAGAACAAAAATAAAATGGTCGTCAACCTACTTACTGTTAACATGTTGGTTTGCCTCAAGAATCTCAAACCAAGAGTTATTGCTATCGGAACTCTTGTTATTTTGTGTCTTTTGGTTATGCCAGACCTTCTGCCAACCCTGTCTGTGGGGATGATAGAGTGACTTGTGCAGGTGTGGACGTCCTCCACGATGGAGGGTGTACCGTGGACGAGGTGATGGAGAGGGTGAAAGGCAGAATGGAGCTGTGTAACCTATCCAGGACCTTCCATCGATATAAACAACTCATGGATCGCTGGCTCAGTGTTGGCCGCGCGGTCGAGCTTCCCCCACCATCGACTGGCAGAAGCCGACGCAGCCCATACATTCACCATTATAAAACACACTTTGTATTTGCTGCTCTGTTGAAATTTATAGGGATAAAATATTGCTAACGCTTGTCAAACTCTTTTTACTAGTTAAACCTTTTATTTTGTTTCTTGCAGAAAATAGCCCATCTGAATTTTTTAAAACTACAAATTCACTAAACCCGTTTTGTAGATGTTTTTAGACGACTGATATTGCTAGTTCCAAATTGTACATGGTAAAATAATAAGTTATTACAAAAGAGAAATAGAAAGTACAATATTTGTAATTGAAATTCTATTTTATTATACGAAAAAATAGTACATAAACATTTTGAATAATTTTGCTAAGTTTTTGCCGCAGTGGTAACGTTATGTTTGACGTAAACGCGATATTTTTTTCTTTCAATGTTTAATGACAATGTATCTTACAAAATAGGTCATAAAAAAGTATGCTTATCACGTTAATGTCAAGCATAGATTTGCGGTAAAAACTGGACAAATGTAGTAGGGTTTTTAAGAGTTCAAATGTGTTATTTTCTGCAAGAAAAGAAGAAGACATAAAGTTTAGAATAGTAAAACGTGTTTGGCATGCATTAGCAATATTTTACATCTATATATTTAAACAGAGCAGCAACTTAAAAAGGTGCGTTTTACAATGGTGAGTGTATGGGATGCGTCGGCTACTGCCAGTAGATGGTGGGGGGAGCTAGACCGAAAACAGCGCCCGCAGTGCTACTGAGAGCGCAATCCAGTAGTTTTTACATCGTTGGGACCTTCTACGAGGCCAACCCTGTCTGTGGGGATGATAGAGTGACCACTATCTCTACACATTCCTTGTGTAGGTGTGGACGTCCTCCACGACGGAGGGTGTACCGTTGACGAGGTGAAGGAGAGGGTGAAAGGCAGAATGGAGATGTGCAACCTAGCCAGGACCTTCTACGAGGCCAATCCTGTCTGTGGGGATGATAGATTGACCACTGTCTTAACGTATTCCTTGTGCAGGTGTGGACGTCCTCCACGATGGAGGGTGTACAGTGGACGAGGTGATGGAGAGGGTGAAAGGCAGAATGGAGCTGTGCAACCTAGCCAGGACCTTCTACGAGGTCAACCCTGTCTGTGGAGAAGATGGAGTAACCCATGGCAACCCGTACATCATGCGATGCTTCAAACCTAGTTAGTATGATTTTATTCTGGATAGAAGTCGTATTTGAGTAAACAACTTTAACGCGTCACAATTGGTACCTCTCTGATTAATAAAACACTTGTATTGCAAAATAAAATCATGTACTCCTTCCTGAAGCCCACAAAAATTAAAAATAAATAACTTTGCTCATCCTGAAGGGTGAAAATAAAAGTAGTAAGAAAACAACTAACAAGCATTTTCCCTTAGATGTTGATGCCAGCTACATGGGAGAGTGTGACTCCCCGTTGCACCGCGCCTGTCAGGCCGCTGTGGACATCGACAAAGGTCTTGTGAAGTGTCCTGGAGAAGTATGTGGCAGTGATGGTCTGACTTACAAATCAGGATACCACCTGGACTGCGCTACAAACAACGACAAGTGTAAGTACTTCTTCTGGACTACTGATTTGCTTATATGCTCGAGCTTTTACTGTACCTGCTCACTCAATGTTCTGCTTGATAAGTTTCACGCAGGTGACCGAAGTCCTGGAAAAAATTTAAAGTCAAAGAAGGCTACAAATTTCTTGAGAAAAAATCACTCTACGTAGAGAACCGTTGTCTTTAGTAAAGCTTAAATTTGAAAAATTGGACGTGGTTGAGATCTGCCCCATAATCGTAGTTTGACATTTACAAAATGGTGTAATAGTGTTATAACTGTTTTAAACCTAAGAGATTTCGTTAATCAATGGATATTTTGGATATTAGCAAATATTGGCCACATTATAAGTTCAAAAGCTTGTCTTAAAATCTTAAATCTGTATTTAAATGGTCCATCGGTGATTTGAATACAGTACTTACATATTTCTATAATATATTATCCACGTAATTTTAGTACTATCACGGGTTTATCAACCCACATTCTTGACTTAACTATTTCCTCCTTCTTTCTATTAATTCTTTCCTCCTGCCATCCTGACTCCCTCGATTCACTCACAAGATTCTACTTACCTCGTCACTCTTCCTATCCTCCAGCACATTCACACAACTATTGACCCCCTATAGTCTTTTTGTTGTACCCTGTCTACTGACCATATACCAGACTCTGGCCTGGGCCCTCACTGAGAAATACCCAAGTGGATAGGTCAGGAGACAGGTTCCATCTCACAGAGGATACCGCTCTACCTATCTTATCCTCCGGCACCTAAACACAATCTTTGACCCCCTATAGTCTATGTGTTGTACCCTGTCTACTGACCGTATACCAGGGTCTAGCCTGGGCCCTCACTACGAAATACCCAGGTAGATAGGACAGGAGACAGGTTCTATCTCACAGAGTATACCGCTCTACCTATCTTATCCTCCGGCACCTAAACACAATCTTTGACCCCCTATAGTCTATGTGTTGTAACCTGTCTACTAACCGTATACCAGCGTCTGGACTGGGCCTTCACAGCGATATACCCAGGTAGATAGGCCAGGGGACAGGTTCCATCTCACAGAGTATACCGCTCTACCTATCTTATCCTCCGGCACCTAAACACAATCTTTGACCCCCTATAGTCTATGTGTTGTAACCTGTCTACTAACCGTATACCAGCGTCTGGACTGGGCCTTCACAGCGATATACCCAGGTAGATAGGCCAGGGGACAGGTTCCATCTCACAGAGTATACCGCTCTACCTATCTTATCCTCCGGCACCTAAACACAATCTTTGACCCCCTATAGTCTATGTGTTGTAACCTGTCTACTAACCGTATACCAGCGTCTGGACTGGGCCTTCACAGCGATATACCCAGGTAGATAGGCCAGGGGACAGGTTCCATCTCACAGAGTATACCGCTCTACCTATCTTATCCTCCGGCACCTAAACACAATCTTTGACAACCTATAGTCTGTGTGTTGTACCCTGTCTACTTACCGTATACCAGGGTCTGGACTGGGCCTTCATTGGGAAATGCCCAGGTAGATAGGTCAGGAAACGGGTTCCATCTCATAGAGTATACCGCTCTACCTATCTTATCCTCCGGCACCTAAACACAATCTTTGTCAACCTATAGTCTATGTGATGTACCATGTCTACTGACCGTATACCAGCGTCTGGACTGGGCCTTCATTGGGAAATGCCCAGGTAGATGGAGAATCAGGAGACAGGATCCATAATACAGAGTATACTACTCCACATGTTCTATTCTTGTTGCACCCTTAACACATTCTTCTTCACACTTTTCATTCCTCACACCAACCACTTATCACTCTCTCCTCCGCCAGATCTCTTCATCCTCCACGAGGGCGCGTGTACCCCCGAGGACAACCCTTGTACCAACATGCCTGAGGTGACAGACAAAGCGAACCCGATCTGTTCCTCTGATGGAGTAACCTACGTCAACAGCTGGGCGCTCTGGTGCATGCAGAGGAAGGAGGATCCATGTAAGTACACACACTTTTACCTTAATATAACGATTGTATATTTTCTGTCACTGAACGACTAAGTCGTTTGTTAATGGGTTTGATTTGGTTTAGTTCCAATCATTGGACTTGATTTTATCCAACGTCAAAACGTAATTAATATACATGATCAACTCAATGAGGCCACCATTATGGTATTAGAAACCGAATTAGAGAAAACTTTTTAAAGGGGATATTCATTTATTTTTAGTGGCAGTTACAAAATATGAAATTAGTTTTTCGCATTTTGATACTTATGTTCACAGTTTTTGAATGTTTATCTAACCCACCATGTTAAACTTCCCTATCCCAAGCGTGATGTATACAACTTCCTTACTTCTCGAGTGGTGTAAAGTTGAAAAAAACTCGCTCGGTGATGTAATGAAACCCATTTAAATACCATTAAGTGGATAACTTAAAAAATATACCTCTATGGAGCCAACGACGTTCAACGCTAGAAATCAGCTGTGTCTGTGTGTTTGAATTTTATTGTTATGCTTTGAAGAATTTTCCTAACCTAGCTTTTGTTTGTAAATGAATGTTACTGTTAGAAGATGAGTGAAATTGATAATGAAGCATATTGCTCGTAACCTCCTGAATATTGTCGGGTCAGGTAAAATCTTGTACGTTACACGTTACGCAAGAGCGTGTTTACATCACTTCGGTGAATTATGCAACTCGCCTTCGCTCGTTGCACAACATTCACCTGCGTGATGTAAAAACGCTCTTACTACACTTGTAATGTAAATAGCTATTGTCTCACTATATTGAAGAAAGAGGAAAGACACTTTGTTAAAACACCATCACTAGCTTAAGACTCAGAGGACAGTTAACACATATCCAAACAGGTTCGTTTATTGAAAAGGATGAGATATCCACTAGTAGTATCTAAAATCGGTAATACATTAAAAAAAACCTCTCCTAGTTTATCTACAGGTAAACATCTTTCGCACAAAGTAAAATTCTAAAAGTCAAGTTACATCACCAATTTAATATACTCATATTCCTTCAAATTGAAGGCAAATTTACCGAAACAATCGTAATTCTGGGAATTCCCACATAGTTATAATGAGGTGCCACCGCTTCCGTCACTGCTGACTCAATACCTGCTAATTTCGCAGATTACAACAATTTAGAAGGCAGTGACGTCACCGGAGTAGAGCTTATCGTTTCTAATTGCTAGTTTCTGTTATCACTGCCGTGGTTCACAGCTGTACGAAGGCGAAACACAAACCTCGAAAAAATGTGTGAAGGTAAAACCTGGTGTCAAGTAGTGATAAAGTACAACTTTGACAACTGATGTACTAGTAAAAAGCAATATTGTCAATTAAGCTTTAATATTTATCGTTCTATTAGATTGTAAATTAAAAATATTTTGTATGTGTGTGTTTCGTGTTAGGACTAAACCAACCTTAAATTCGTCCTCAAATCAGCTGATCCATAAAGACGACAGATCTAAGGGAATATGTTTAATCTATGATAAAAATTTAACTTCGTGATAAATCACTTCAGCATATTGGCAATGATACTAGATATTTGACAACATATTCGCCAATTTTCAGTAAAAGTTGTGGTGTAAAACCATTGAATATACACCATTGACTTTGGATGAAAGTCAAGCAGACTTATTTTATTGTAAAAGCTGGAGCATGTTTGATTTTTCTTAAAATGTCGGTATGGTTAGAGGGCACTGGTGGCAATCGATAGTACTTTATTTATAGTTTGAGAGAAAATTTTACAAGTTTGAAAAATTATGTTTTCCTACGTGGAGTCATTTTCTAAAGATCAGAGCACAAAAAAACAAACAAAATTTTAAAATAGTATTGAAAATATACACTGAATTTGTCATGTAAGAATATTAGTAGGCTATATTTTTATTGGCTTCTAAAACAAAATTTCCTCTTATACATTTTATACTTTCACAAACCTAACATAAATGGTAACTTTAGTTACCTTCTCTTAAAACTAATATTCTTTCCCACCATTTTACCTTTTCACAATACTTGGTTGTATTGAGCTTAATTGACTAATATTATTAATCTTTTCCAGATTTAAAATTCTTCCACGATGGGCAGTGTCTAAGGCGATGCATTGAATGTGGACTGCCCAACTGTCGAGGGTGCTGTAAGGCCAAATGAACTTGACACGAACAGTAGACTTTAAACTGTTGTGCCAACAGAACACGGACCAACCAGTGTCAAGGTCATAGGAAGGTCACATGAGGAAGAGTCATTGTTGTAAATACTGTACAAAGACCTAGGTATATTTTTATATGAACTTTTTATAAAAAACATTTGTTCAAAGTCGGCATATTTTATAAACCCCTTTTAAACACTTTTAGTAGTCTAAATTTTTGTAAATGCACCATATAACTTGGTAAAATAAAAGTTGAGGAATTTTTCAATAAGGTGGAATTGGGTGTAAAAAATGTGATACAAAAGGAAAATTCGAAGATAAACTATACATTAAATATCTCCAGACTTTACAAAGCGCAAAAATTAGGCATTTTCTACAAGAGATTTCTATTATATCATATTCACAGTTATAAATAATTACATGCAATCCAGATTCAATTAGAGGTATTTGAACTCTTCAAACAACAAACTTGATTGAAATAACCAGATTCAATCTGAAACCAGTTTGCAAAATTACGACTCATCCTGTACAGTTATACAGGAATAATGTCAGTAGGTGGCGGATTCGCCAGTCATCTGCAAACGTCTTCAATCAGTTGTGAAGACCTCTGGAGATATTGTTGTGTGTAGTTTGTCTGGGATTGACTATAAATTGTCTGTAACTGTCTATAGTTAGTTGTCAATGATTGCTCGTAGTTGTCTGTGGTCTTAATAGTTGTGTGTTATTGTCTATAGTTTCTGTGATAGTTCATAGTGGTTTGTATCTGTTTGTATTTGTTTTCTCTAAGTTAAATTACATCAATTATTGCGTATGGTTTTCTGTGGTTCCTTATTCTGTCTGTGATTGTCTGCAGTTGTCTATAGTTGTTTCTTGTTATTTGCTATTTATATAATCATCTGTTATTGTATAGATGCCTCTTATTGTTAATGGTTGTCTAAATTGTCTACAGACGTGTGATTGTCTGTTTTCGTCTATAACTGTCTATACAAGTTGTATATGGTAGTCCAAACCCATTGCTATCTTCGATTGTCTTTTTGTCTCTCTGATTCTCTATCATTTAAGTGGGTCTATATTTGTCTGTGACTATCCATATTCGTCTCTGATTGTCTAAAGTCGTGTCTGGTTGTCTACAGTTGTCTTCATCGTCTGCAGTATTCCACACACTGCAGTTGACAGTTAGCTACTAAGTGTCAAATACAGGAAGTTCCACATCACTATTCATCATTTAGCTCTCTTCACCCCAGTACATAACCTCTCGAGCTATAGGCAACACGTATTCCGTGATTAATTGCGAGTTTCTATTTACAGTGAGAAAGAAGAGACAACAAACTGGTTTTAACTTTTTAAGTTTTGTGGCAAAGTGTTTAAAACGCTTGTGTTCGAGTATTAGTAAAGCAAGAATTACAGCGATGCAATATTCAATTACACGTTGAAGGTATGTAAACATTTTTTGCTATTTTCTGTGTATGCTATGGGTTTATGATTGTGTTAAAGTTTAGTGTATTGGGTTGGGAAGTGGGTTGGTATAGGGGTAGAGTGTGGGACTTCGGTACTAGAGGTCTCAGGTTCAAACCCTGCCAATCACCAATGGATTTTAAATAAGTGATAGTACCACAACCCCCTCTAGTATTATAGTATTTTGGAAAACAATTTCACTGGATTTTTACTTGTTGAACATAAAACACAATATACCACCTCATTACTCGACGATAAAGACAGCGGGTGCTCAGCATAGTACTGTTCAAATAATTATTTGATACAAAAACTAGTCTATTATTTGTGCTGGACTTTATAACTAATAATAAAATCTGCCTAGGATTACACTAATGATTTCACAATACTTGTTTGCACTGATTTCATTCCCAGCTATGCTTTGTTATCTGTATTGTACGTATTGTATTACATTTCGTTCGACCCTTAGCCTAAAAGTAGTAAGGAAAAGCAATAGTTTGTAATTTAATTATACAACTCTATGTACCAAACATAAATCAATTTATAAAATTATAAGCTATAATAACAAATTTAAACTAAACTATACCTTATTATATCACCATCCCAAATTGTAATGTTTTGTAATTGTATAATTTCCACAAAGCATCGTAATCAAATACGAATAATCATAAAAAATAATTTAAAATATTTAAAACTTTCCCTACCAAACAAATACTAAACTGACTTTATTAATTTACTACCTTTATTTTATTTCTTCACATTACTTGGAAGAATAGATTAAGCAACAACCACACCTAATAAATTAACAAATAGATTAGATTACTATTTCTAAACGACAATGAATCAGCTGTTCAAACTCCCGCCAATACTGGGCTTCTGCGCGCTATTACAACCGTCGAACCGTCCACTTGCACAGCTGTTTCAGCCAAACAGCTGGTGTCCATACGTTTGTTTTGTTCGTTTGCGTGCGCAGTCCCGGTCTTAACTTGTTTCTGTTGATAATATTAACAAGTCTGTAGTAACAGTTTAATGAGTGTTGATAGTGTGGTGTAGTGTTTTGCTTATCTGTAGCTTTGACCTGAAAACTGAGAAATATTTCCAGAAGTGTTTATTGATTCTTCACACCACGTGTGGTGCGGACCTGCGCAGAAGGAATGTAGGTTAAGTAGCATATTTATAATTTTTAATAGTTTTTTTTATTTTATACAGTTTTTGGTAAGTTTAGGTAATTATTTTACGCTTCCAAGACTTGTTATTGATTATGTTTTTACGGTATTTAGGTATAAATAGCTCTAACTGAAATAGCTTGTAAATAACGTACATAAGTTGCTACTAACCTAAAAAATATGTTATACAAACCCCTTAAAAAACCATTAACTTGAACTAGGCCTATTCAAAGTTAAGATAACGGTGTCAAGATTTTCAAACTTTAGAATGAATATAAAATGTCTAAAATCTTATAACGACACTGGCTGTAATTATATTTTAGTGTTTGAATCTTACACTGCAACACTGTTCTATATATAGACAATTCATACATATAATATATGTATACAACCTTTAAAAATAATATAGTACGTTTTTTATTCTGAGTGTATTTTATCAACTATAACAAAATTGTAAAAAAGGTTAGTAGTTTTTGTGGTTTTTAAGTAGGCTACGTTTGTTTTAAAATTTGTTAATTATTTTGTTACATTATCCTTAAAAGAACAACAATAAAAAATATCAACGTATGCTTATAAACGAATCGTTGAGAAGGGTTTAATAGTTATCAATTTTCTTAAATTTAAACTAATTGCGACTATTTAACTAAATATATCAATTCATTTGTTAACTATTAATCTGTGGTAAGACATAAATTGTAAAATCTACCTGAAAAAAATATAAATAAAGTTAATCGACTTCAACTTATTCAAACCAAACAAAGCGGGAACACATATAAACACTTTTAAAATGAGAAAACCAAATATATTCCTCTTTCTTTGTAAGTTGTGTGGATTAACGTCCGCACGAGTGAGTACTACGACTACCCGCAGTACTATCCTGATAATTAGACCAATTCGTATACCAAGGCAGAAATGTTGTTCGGATTCCACTATAAACTGTAGGTTCCTTAGTTGCCATTAGCTGTATGGGCTATTAATTAACAGCTGTTTCTAAGGATATGTCGGCCTTAGGCACTAACAAGACTACAAGATCGCGCCACTCATCCTACACTCATCTCCATTCATACTTGGCTTAAAATACCTACTTTGTATGGTGACAATTTTTTTGAAAAGTATTAAAAAAGTATTAAGTATTAAGAATAAAATAATATCAACCACTTCTGATTTACAGTAACATAAGTAAATAATACCAAATAAGTAAAATCAACTCCTCCTACGTATATACAGAACGAAATCAGCATCCATAAATTCAGAAAATCAGTAGGCAAAAATTATGTCTCGGTACAGAAATGGCCCAAATGACGTATGACGTATTTCATTGTCGGTTTCTGAGTTGAGATTCCCAGGACAGTAGAGTTTGTTTTCCATTGTTGTTTTCCTTCAGGACTCGAGTACAATGGGAACAATAGACGCAACAATGCTATTGTACTCGACTCCCCTAGAGGCTTGAGGTCCCTGGCGTGGATAGTAGGTTATTCTTGATTGCGAAAATACCGAACAAATACTCAAGTTCTCAATCATTTGTGGTAAAGTTTGTGAATTGCAAAGAAATTAGTTTGTGGTATACGTAAGCTACAACACTCTTAGTTATGTATTTATTTTTAGTAATTTTCACATATAAATTATTAACTTAGGTCTCATGGTAAGACCTAGACACCGGGGCCATTTTTCTTTTTCGTTTTGAGGTTACCAGAGACCAAAAACACCAACAGTTCAAATTCATAAATAAATCGAATCGACAAGGTAAATATTATTGCACAACTTTTTATATTGCACAATATTATTGAACGTGTATGGACTATATTGAATGTGAAAATCAGATTATGCAATATATTGAGTGAATACAAAGGGTTAGAAAATTATTGCACAATCTTTAAAATATTTAACGTGTATAATATTGCAAAATATTATTGAACGTGTATGGACTATACTGAATGTGAAAATCAGATTATGCAATATATTGAGTGAATACAAAGGGTTTGAAAATTATTGCACAATCTTTAAAATATTCAACGTGTATAATATTGCAAAATATTTTAAACATGTATGGACTATAATTATTGAATGTGAAAATCGGATTGTGCAATATATTGAGTGAATACAAAGGGTTTGAAAATTATTGCACAATGTTTAAAATATTAAACGTGTATAATATTGCAAAATATTTTTGAACATGTATGGAATATAATTATTGAATGTGAAAATCGGATTGTGCAATTATATTGCGTGAATACAAAAGTTTTGAAAATTATTGCACACTCTTCAGAATATTAAATATATTGCGTATGATTGGTATTATTGTGCAATATCCTGTTAGTATGGCCTTTATCTACTCGAGGTAGGTCGTTATGCAATAAATTGTGTTCAACTATGTGGATTGTTTAGTATCAAAAGATTCTGCGTATAATCCAAATTTTTTAAACTCATTCGATTCACCTATCCGAAACTCAATCAACAGTCTTTCATGAGTAAGGCCACTCCTTTTTTTTTCAACCACTCCTTCGTCCTTCATCCATATCTTCTTCTTCCTCTTCTTCAGCTTCGTCAGCTATCGGCTACCACACAAGCTGCAGCATCCAAATCCCACATGATAACCAAAGTAAAACTTTTTACTGTCCTGAAACTAAACCAATATTGGCGACTTAAACTTAACCACAAATTTATTGAACTGTGTAAGGTTACTCTTTAATAAGATTGCGCAATATATTACAGGTACAATTAATATTGACTGTGTGTGGAGTTTGGGAAGGTGGTTTTACGGGTAAAAAATGTTTGTCTCATTTTCCCACTTAAAACATATAATTTTACAATTTCCACCTAAATCATTATGTTTTATGTATATATTGGAAATCCTATAGCGTAATTTAAATTTGCATAATTTCTTTACTACGAGAACATTAATTTTTTAACTAAATATTAAATTAATTTAACGCTATCTTAAAACACCTGTTATGACGCATTGTACTCGTAAATATCGAATCCAGTTTTCTGTAAATAAAATAGATGGTCCTTTGTCTATAAAAGTGATAATTTCCTACTAAAAGCAATACATTTCATATAGTACGGCTATTACACGCTCATAACAGGAAGTCTGTGGCCATCGCTATCTGTCTTGTGGCATTGACGGATGCAGTAATGGCGGGAGTTACATTCTGGTCACGTGACGCTTTTCCCGCGCCCGCGGTAACGACCCACGTGACACGCCAGCTGATCTGCCACTTCAGGAAACGGACATAGAGTAAATATTTCTGGGGTGGATAAATGGGATACACAGAGTAAGCATGTGTTTGTAAACTTTTATTGTTGAGACTTGGAGAGAAAAAATAGCTAAATATCTCTAATCTAGTGTTACGATTAGCCCTTAGGAGCCCCTATGGTCTAAATTGATCGCCATTCATAAAGCCTAAGGTTTCATATTTACCTACTTTATTTGTTCTGAAAATTAGCTTTTCTTCCGTCATTATTATAAACTAGAGGTCTTCCAGTGATAAAAAAATCGACCAAAAATATGTAATGTACAGAATTCTCTATTGCCACCCCACGCTGTAAATAAAACATGTGAATGGAATTTCTTCCATGTGTTTTGATTTTCTGTTTATATCTCGTTGTGATTTCGACACCAGCATGATAATCCATAAAACCCAGGTTAAATTTATAAAAAAATCCATTTTGTGCCAATTTTTTTAGCCTATTTTAATTTATAAAGGAATTCCGCATATCTACAGGAAATTACCTTTCCAACAGTATGCGTAGATTTTCCCTGTGATGCACACGAGCTGAGAAAAAAGGTTTTAAAGAAACATGCTATTAATAAATAGATTGAAAAAATATTCCCAAATTGAACATGTTGTTTCCTAAACAAACTTAAAACTTTTCTCGTTGTCATCAGTTGGTTGCATTTCCAAAATTTTGTAATAAATCCACAGATAAAAATAACAAAATGTTAACAGGATTAATCGTCTTAGCCAGAACAATCAATGGATACCTGGAGAAAAAACGTTAGAACAAGTGATGATCTAACAAATTTATGCTTCTAAAATTAAACATATTTCAAGTTCGTTCAAAAACTCTTAACATTTGGCCATTGTTTCACATACTTTTGATTTTGCTGTAGGACCGTATGCCTGGATGTATCAGTACTTAACACCGAGTAAATATGTATATAACTAAGTTATATACATAATCTATGTTAAAATACATTATGTATTTTTAAGACAACCTCCAGCTAGCTGGATGTTCGAGTCGTACATTCTATTGCCTCTCAACCTCTGACCTACAAGCGTTTCAGTGTGAAGGTCTCCAATTAGAATGTAAGTCACCAATTCCCCATGGCCAATGCAAATCGTAGTGTGCACATTAAAATGTAGCCTTGCCGTGTTCATCGTAAAATAAGTTGTGGAAGCTAGATTTTGCTTTTAAGTAATCAATTCCATTGTATCAAAATTGTCTTGAAAACGCAAAAAATTGACTAATCGAGATGAAATTTCACTAAATACAGTATAGAGAACCTCAATAACACGTCTTTAATGGGGGGCTATCAAATATGGCTTGTTATCAAGGTTGACTTGTTATTGAGGATCGCATTTGATTAGGGGTAAAATAAATACCTAATATGAAAATCACATTTGTTATCAAGGGTGTCTTTTTATCGAGGTTTCACTGCAAGTTCTCAATCAGCATTGTGCGTTGTGTTAATTTTACGGAAATTAAATAAAAATACTTGCTATAACACTTGAAATATATATTTATAACTTAGTTAAGAAAAAAATATATTTTTTTTACTTTCCGCTAAAATTTCATCTAAAGATCGCTATAGTTGCGAGCATTGTACGTCTTTTTGTATTGACCTGAATTTGCCCTGCTGGTCTGTGGTGGTTTGGGAAATTTTGATTTGTCCTCGTAGAATAACACATAAATATTGTATTTACAATGTTTAAGTTTTTTAAATGCTATGTATTTTTACACTTTTGAACAATATTAAAAAAATATTCATATTATGTTCATAAAAAAAAAAAAATAAAGCTAGATCGATCGTTTGTAAATTTAGGTTTGATTATTTCTTAAAGATCCCACAGTGTATAGAAACTATGTAATGTTCAATCATCAGTGTCAATACCGTAACTGGTTTCGTAAAAAAAACTTAAGGACTAAAAATGTTGTCAAACTTTGTCTATATCCCATAACAAAACAAAGATAACGCTTAGTATTGTTTACTATTGTATTAAGTCCTGTCACATTGAATTATGTAAGTTTATAGTAGTTTAAAATAAAAAAATAACAATCATCAATAAAATTACTGTTTAATTAAAACTTACGATACCGTTTTACATCAACGGTAATTTTAGTAGCGTCTGCACGAGAAACGTGGGTTTGATAAGGGAAGCAAACAAGGTTTAACGTTTTCTGTTTTATGACCTAACAAACTCTGGGTTTGTATCACATTATTCACAACGACCCAGTCTGGTTGATTTAATCACCACAATGACGCCTGCAGAGAAAGTTACACATTTCTTCAACTGTAAGTAAATTAGGAAATTACTACAAATAATACAAATTTTCACACGTAATATTTAATATAACTGTCTAAAATCACTGTCAATAAAGAGAAAGCTTGAAAATTAGCCTACTTTGTAAACATTCATAAAGTAAACATCGGTTCATAAACATTTCTTAGTAACGAGGTAAAAAAATATACCTAGTTAAGATCATTCCAGTTTCATTGTTATAACATATTTTTGGATTTTTTAAAATAAAACATGAAAGATATTAAAAGATGTTCGAAAGATAGAGTGAGCAATTTCTGCTATAATAGACAAAATGCCAGTTATAAATAAAATAAAAACTTTTTGTTTATCTCGACTCTATACAATAATAATAATTTTAACAAACATATGAAGGATATTTTTAACAACATTTTTAACACCATTTTCAATAACATATTACTCTAATAGAGAAAATAACTTAAACATAATGTTTCCGATAAATCTATCAATGCTACCTGCTAAAGATGCTACATACAATCATATATATTTTGGGTACTAAATATAAAAAATATTGTAGTTAATGTTTTGTTTAGCTGCTAGGAATTAGGTTTTGCTTATAAAAATACCTACTTTGTATGGTCGCCATTTCATAGAAAAGTATAAAGTATAAGTATAAGTATCTCATAAAATATGGTAGTTATTTTGGAATATAGGCCTAATTGATATAGTGGAAAACATGGGGAAAAATCACAATTTAATATTGTTAATTTTTAAATAAGGCCACGAGTGTAACAGTTTAAATATGTTATTTTGTATTGTAACAAATCCAGGATATTAATTTCATTTAGGTTTGTTTTTTTTACTCCAATTTTTTAATTTGAAAAGAAAGGTACCTATCACAATCGTTGTATTGAGTATAATTACAAACTAATTGATCTGAAACTGAAAATTTGCAACTTATAAACAAAAAAATATACTTTTATATGAAACATCCAAGAAAGTTCACCGCCAAATAACTTTCCTGTTTAGTCTTCAGTTTGCCAAGGGTTAGTTTATCGCATAACCTTCGAATTAAAATTCCATTCCGAACTCAAATTTGCGCAGGAAACAAGACGTGACAAGAATGCTTAAAAGTTCGATGAGTTTTACGGCCTTAGTCTTGTAAAAGCTGAGTTTTCACCAAACCCAAACGACTAAAAGCGTTTAAGATGAATCTAGATTTAAATAAGTCGATCACTTGCAGAGTATAACTATTTATAATATTATGTGATAAGTACACTTTTTGACATTGTTAACCTGGATTTTCAAAATCTTATAATTGGTTGCTACATTTTTGTATAAAAATTCTTAACGATTTCTCTCATGTATTTTTAAATTGTTTATGCTTTTTATAATATGGGTTATGTTTTTTTGTGTACATCACCATTCCTTTGCTTTGACGTATTACTTGTTTTATTGAAGCATACATATTGTGTTATGCTGCTCAAAATTTCTAGTGTTGAAATCCTGCTATTATTTAGTTTATGCTAATTCAAATAAAGTTATAATAATCCTATTAACGTTTTGAGACAGGTAAAATTTGATAAAAGCTACAATTTAAGATATACATTTACTAACGACTACACCTTATGGGCAAGAGAAATGTAAAAATTGAGTGATTGACCACTTTGAATGATTAAAAGTATACAATTATAGACACACTTGATTTAAACTTAGATACACATTATTTATTCAAAATATGCAACTCTAAGGGTTAACTAAACCTCATCCATCCTTATTTTACGGATTTAAAATTTAAAGGACAGCTATGTAATAGAAGAAATGTAAATCTGATAGGAGAGTGTCGATTCAGTTCCATTGAGCTGAAAAACTACTTTTGAAAACGTTTAGAATATACTAGAACTAATTATAAACTGAAGAAAGTAATAACCCTTAGCACAACTGAATATACCTCACAAAGTATCGTTTCTTTTACCCAATAAAATATAAAAATCTCTAGTTCCCTTTGGGTAAAAAAAACTAATTAATGAGTTTCCATAGTCCTTGTGCTACAAATTAAAAACGCCCGTGGAGTTTTCACTCTTGTAATATGCTCTTTGATGAGAGGTGCTAGAGGCGTTTTTCATTCTGTTTTACATTATCGATTTCCGCGATGCACACACTTTGTGTGTGTGTGTGTGTGTGTGTGCTTTTGTGTTAGTGTGAGAGCTTGAAGCGATTTTCATTGTTACCTGAAGTATATTATGTGGAAACAAGTTCTCCCTTCATCTGTTAGTATTGTGCTTCCTTAAAGTAATCTTTGCTTCAGAAATCTGACTTTTGACGGTTTAAAAAGGTGAGTGCTTAGGTTGAAAATAAAGGCTAGAATGGGAATAGGTATGGAGTATATATTTTTTTTCCTTTTTTTCCCCTAGGACGCTAGGCACGAGCCTGGGATTGTTTTTCACATTACTTCAGGCTAGACCTAGGGGTTGCGGCATTATCACTTAGATAAAATCCATTGGTGACTTGGCGGGGATCGAACCCGGGACCTCACGAACTGAAGTCCCGCGCTCTAACCACTACGCCAGCTCGCTCCCCATGGTATGGGGTATAATAGAGCCCACTTAACCCCTAATAAATTGGTACGTTGTTTGATTTAAACTCAGAATGAAATTAAAGTCGTCAGTGCCTTTAATAATAGTGGCGTACTTTACTTACGAAAATTTTTTAATAAAAAAATCACAACTTGTATCTTCTAAGAGAGGTTGTGTTTTCGTTTATAATTTCTCATAGCCACTGATTGTAATGCAACGACTTAAGTCCCCATCACTTACTCATTGTTTAATCAATTGAATTGGTCAACAGCTGATAATTTGACGTTCGAAGTATTACGATTTTACATATTTTATCTCAATTCTTGGCACTCATTGGTACAAACTTGTACTATAGAGTAACAGAATAATTCAACAATACTGTAAAATGAATCGTTGTCAAATTTAGGGCTTATCAAAGGTTTAATTTTTACATTAAAGCATATTGAGGTAGGAGACGATTCCGATCATAAACACTTGATTACATTGCAAGAGTAAAATACGAATAAACAACCATAGACTACGAGGATATTTAATCTATGAATCAGCTGTTGCAGACTTCTTGTTCAAACATTGTTGATCAGCTGACAGAGTGTGCTATTGTCACCATTTTATTTTATCTTTACATTTCCAATACTTTGATAATAGCTGTGAAATAATATGCTATAGTTTTCCTTCTGCTTTAGGATTGGCTGTTTGTGATATTCTACACACACATGAATGTAAATTTTTTACTTTTTTATGGTATTAATTTGTAGAATTAAGTGACCAGCTTTATCACTATTTAAGACTAGCTATTTCTTTTGCTAATTATCAAAAATGCAATAGACAATACAGTACTTCCCAAATTACATTATTTATTGTTATTAGAGCTTTGTTTTATGTCAATGTATAAATATTTTTTAGATTTATTTAGTACTAACCTTCCTAATAACCAAATTAGCTTGTGTTAAGTTTAATCAACTAATTTGGTGTTTTATTTGAAAAATTTACCTATTTATGTATTTCTAGATTGGTGTTGCTCCGCTATGCCTGGACCTCCATCGACTGCTTATTCTTCCAACGGAGATTCGAAAAACCCAGGTAACACAAATATGTTTTAAGAAAATATTTTACTGTTTTAGCCTAAACTCATAAGTACTTCAACCTGTGAATTTTTCTCAATGGCAAGATTAATAATAGATCCATGGTAAATACAGTAAATTTGTAATTTTTTAATTATTGTTGGACAAAATGGTGCTATTTAATTTGAAATGAAGTTCGCAAATGAGTGTTAACAAAAGAAGTTTGTCACGTATAATTTCATTTAAACAAATGCATATGGTTTGCAAGGAACATTACCTAATTAATAACTGTTGTACAACCATACGCTAACTGTTGTCGAATACAATTTGTGGACATTTTGTGCATATTGAACATCGTATTAGTTAATTCCTACGCTAATATTAGTTGTTTCCATCTTACGGTGTTGCAATTATGTGTTTTGTTTGTCTAATTAATAGCATTATTGAAATGGAAAATACAGTATGTAATGTAATTATGAGACATTGTCATTGAAAGTCCACGTAGTTAAAGGCCTATTAACTTTGTATACAATTTTAGCCAAAAATATTCAGTGAGGTTTTGCGTTCATTCAGAACATTGACACAGTTTTTATTAGTCAACCAAATTAATTACTTAATTATTTTGAAATAAATATGTTTTATACCTATAATTTTATAACTGTTATGATCTCAAATTATAACAATGTCGTGAAGAATAAATTTTTCAAACGGTTTCATTATTTGACCTATAGTTAGTTTTATCTAAAAAAATTGTAGAACAATCAGAAAACAGAATCTTTTACTTATGTCTGTGCTTTTGTTGACTTATGCAACGTTACTTAAATTAAATGTTCTCGAACTCCTCGCATTTTCATTTACTAAAGTTACCAACTCTACAATCAGGCCAAACATTCCACAATTGAACACAACTAAAGTGCCTCAGAAAGTTTTTCGTAAATAAAATATGCTTGTGAATAAAAAAAAGCCACATTGCAGTAGCATTGCAGCTAGACAAATTCCCATCAGAACAGCTTTACTAAACAAAGAGCAAACTTGTTCTCTTTGTACAATAATTCTCCGGGGGAAAGTTATAATACAGACGTGGTCTTGCTGGGTTAATAATGCAATGCTGTGTTCGATCTACAACGCTCTGAAGCGGGATAGTGTAGAGATGTTAGCTTTCGTAACAACGAAATAAGATACTAATTGGATTAAATATATTGTTAAAGTTTACAAAAATATAAGTGTGCTTGGAACAGTTTGATTTTAAATTGCTTATGATATACTGTAAAAAAGGGTCTCCTACAATTTTGAAATACTTATTTTTACGAAGTAAATATTTCTTTACACATCTTCTATGTATTTAATACTTAGAATAATACTTAGTTTAACTAATCACATTTTTTTACAAGTATGTCTGTTCTATGTCATCTTTCATAAATGAGGTAGAATATGTCCGAAGAAATATTTAATTCGTAAAAATAAGTATTTCAAAATTGAACCAATTAAAATTTTTTTTAAATCTTTATTGCCTTCAGATTTTTTTAAAAATAAGCTGAAACATAAATGAACAACGAGGGTGGATAAGATACTTTTTACTTTATAATATAATATCTTTTTCGTAATAATGTAACAACTTAAAAGCTAATCAATTATTAAAAAATGATATTGTTTACACCAAAATCATATATTTTATATGTTTAGTTATACCATCAGAATATAAAACAGGTTACTTTGCCTACAAAATTAAATATCTATTCAAATTAAAATTACTGAAACATTAGAGAGTCTGAATGTCATAAAATATAACTGTGCTTAAATGAATCATAAACAGAAAAAAATATGTAATCATAAATTACATAATGATATTGTAATTAACTTTACAAAATCGGCAGTCGGTGTTTACTGAAGCTAAAAATGTAGAGCATATGATCTTGATTGCAGTGAATTAATGAAAAAAGGAAACAAATTTCACCGTTTGGTATCAATTAATTTTAGAAAGCATTAGTCTTCACTGTAGATTGAGGATTAATGAATTACAAAGTAAAAGGAGCACTACAGCACCTAATGTGTTATATTGTGTAAGACACACAATACAACCATAGACCCAAAGAATCTGCTTGTGTGTCTGTGTACAACCCACCCAACACTATGGCTGACGCAGCGCTATAGTCAGCAATGCTGAGGCAGTGTCAGACTATAATTGTATTGACACAGACAACGAGTTAACGATGAAACTGTCGTTTGGGTGTTGACTTTGAAGATTTATGTCGTGTGAAATCCTTAAGCGTGAAAATCGTATAACAGCTGCTCTACAAGCGATGGTGCTTTAATTCTGTTTTTATACACATTTTCTCAGGGGTTTAGGCTGATTTTACATTACAATTCAATAATAAGAATTGTAAGCTGACAATTTATCATGGATAAAGGGTGTCCTAAAAACCCCCTAGTAAAAAAAAAATTATTGTACAAGCCAAGTTACAATGGCTGATACATTAAATGAAAGGTAATGAAATAAAAGTCCTTTTAACACTAGTATACATCTCCAATATGCAAACCATTTGTAGCCCTGCAGATATCCAAGTGTTTTTATTTCTTTATTATTTTTATTATTATATTACCAAAACTACGCTCAAGGTCAAACAGGTGTACCAAACTGATTGCCAACGTACAAAACTAAAACTTACAAGTATACTCTACAGCACCAAAGGATTATTACTCATACATTTAGATTAATACTATTGTGGGATATTTTTAAAACTAGGGAGTTCTTTTTCGGAAACCCGATATAATACACATTGTGTTTTTTGTAATGGATACTAATCGATATTTATTTTTTAACCTTAGCTTCCTTCCTTTAGGCAAGTAGTATCATCAATGATTTTTAGGTACGTTTAATTACGAATAGTTTGGTGTTTAGGAGCCTTCCTCGTTCATCCTGTCTTGAAAAATAATAGGTTTTAGAAGAGAATAACATTTTATTGCGATAAAGAACTTCTTCCCTAAATTTCGAAATTTTAAAAGTTTTTGTATACACCTTTTTACAGCTAATCAAAGACGATAGATCTTCAAAAAAGTAAATTTGAAGTATTGTTGAGTTTTCTACCCCAGTATGATTAAGCAGCTCCAATGCAACAATAGGAAGCAATATGATGGCGTTGACAGGTTCGTTTAACTTTATTAATTTAGATCAAATCTCTCAACGTTCTGCACACATGTTCTCGTTTAACTTTCAAAACTACCGTATCAGCCCGAGCCGTTCAGCAGTGGAACAAATTGTAAAACTTGCGGGTAAGTTACATGTTGTAACATGGTGCTGGCAAAGTAATAAATTGTTGCATGTTTATATTTAAATTTGCTTTTGCACTAGTATTTATAAATGATAACCTTAGGGCACGCCTGGATAAATATTTAAAGGTAGGAGCTTCTTTCCAAGGGGATCAGGTTCAAATCCTACCAATCACTAACGGTTTTCAGCAAAGTGTGTTCGAAGTCCACCTTTAGCTGTTCATTCTTACTAGAAAATACAAATAGGATTTCTTTCAAGTTTTTGGAAATTTCTAGCTGACGATCCTTCCCAGTCCTTGCTATATTAATTCTCAACCATTTGACTTTGCTCAGTTTGTCCAATATTGTTTGAAATTCATTTTTGGTGATGGTGAGTTAATGTTGTTCAAAGGTTTATTGCGGACATTTTCCATCACGATGGTAAAAAAAATTCCAATATTTTTTCACGTCCACTAAAAAAAACTATCAAACAGGTAAACAGAACATTAAGAAACATTCATCGACAATTTTGTACCACAATAAAAAAACAAACTTTGTTTAAAATCCTAAATAATACAAACTTAACAAGTTTTCCAGATGAAATACACTGAGCGGGTTTATGATGATGAGTTTGCAAATCGACACCCGCCATCTTTAATGCAAACAGCGGGATATTATAATGACAAGGGTAATGACACAACAGCAGATAAGGCCGCAAAACATTGTGATATTTACCCTTGTCTTATTACCTGGAAATAACAACGCTGAATAAATAGGCTGAGTTTACTGTGGGATCCGGCAGCGTTTAGTTATCATTGTTGCTTTTAATTTTAGAACGCCATTTGTGCAAGAGATTTTTTATCACAGTGTATTAAAAAATAGCCCATTTCCATATCACACTATATTCGAAAATAGCTTATTTCCATACAGCTGATATCTTAGAAAATCGTCAATTTCCATACACCAAAAAGTGCTCAGCTGGCTTTTCCTGACATAAACTAACTTTACTTTCTCTACACAAACAATACTTTTGCCAATCAGCTGAATTTTACACTAAAATTAGTTATATAGCTGCATTGTGTTTAGATTAGAAAAATGAATAGATTACGAATAATGAGATAATATTTTAGTTTGACGAAGTAGTTTTTTCTTCGTGATCAAAAGTATCGTTCAATACTCGGCACGAAAGACCCATTTCGAGCGAGATATTGTTTTACATGCGAGTCTAGTAGTGGAATATACTATTAAAGGATTTAATTAAGTGCCTGGAACGGAGTAAGGAAAATGGGAGATGCAGGGATTTATTTTGTAATTTTTCATAAAAGTTAACTTTTAGGCTTTCTTCGAACTTGAAAATGCTACGTCTTGTGCATTAAACCATGGTTGAAAATAAAATTTAAGTTAATTTTGAGAACAGTGTAAAATTCGAGAGTTTTAAATTAAAATCGGAATCGTATCGTTTTATGGTAGGTATCCGAAAACGTAAAACCCTCACTTATGACAAGTAATTCAGTAAAATGAAACTCAATTCAATTTTGTTGGGCTTTATTAAAGTAGATAAGAATGACTGGTATAATTAGGTACGCGATAAATTGAATTTCTCCGAATCGATTCCATGATCACCCGATCTGAAGCCATGTTTTTCACCTCTGGGAGTTCATGAAGAATCGTGTGTACGCCTGGCGGAACTAATTGAATTGAGAATAAATTGAATGTAGCTGTTGAACAACTATTTAAAATATACTTAGCAATGTTTGTGTAAATCATACTAAT